TAATATAAGGTACATTATAATTATAAATGAAAATTGAATAGACAATTTTGTATTTTCGGACTTTTTGTCCGGCAATCAAAAAATGAATCCGGACATTTTGTCTCCGGACTTTTCGTCCGGGAATCCAACAGTACATTATGATAATATATCGTTATCAAAAATGTCTCGTGACTTAATTATCTCGACGCAAATAATTTTATTGGTTTCAATTGGTTGATTGATATGGGATAAGTGGCTTGAAGCAAAAGTTATGAATACAAATATTTCAATAATTTATTATACATTTAAATTATTATAAATTTTTCTCCAACCATCTTAAAAAGAAAAAAWTTAATATATTACAATGTTAATCTATTCTAAATTTTATTAAGCATTGACTTTTGAAGTTACTTATATGTAACTAAAATATGTTGATTTCTTTAAGAATTCATTATTTTATTTAATAATAAGTATAATATTATCGTGTATACAAAATAATGTTATTAACGATACAAACGATACAAATGTTACTAAAAATTATTCAGATAATATTTTCAAGGTAAAATAAAAATAGTATATATTATAAAAAGTTAATACTAATATTTTTTTCTGTAAATGAGGAAATTAATTTCATATCGGGATACACCAAATATTTGAATTTTCTACAATTATTATCATCAAACCCAACTTTATACATATCAATTTTGAAATTAAGTACAAAATGTATAGGTAGATATAGTTGATAGTATTTYGTAAGTATTGTTAGGTTTGATTTTTTTTAATTTCTTAATTATTTTAACAAAATTATTGCCATAATTAATGTTAATTTTTTACAAATGATTATGAACAGTAATGAGTAGGTAGGTATTTTAAATATGATATATTGTAAAGCCGGAAAAAAAATATTGAAAAATATAACAATTAAACAATTTATACCTTCTATTAAAATKATGTTATAAATTATGATATTTATTAATTGAATTATAAAACTAGATAAAATAAARTGCTTATTATTCTTGGGTACTACTTTTTAAAATTTATTTCGATGAACTCTATGACGTCATTGATTACAATTTAATTTGAAAATATTATTTTTCTCTTAGACATTAGATTATATTATGTTTGGATAATTAGTTTTAACGGAAAATATTGATAATAGTAGTTTGTTATATTACAACTACTAATAATTATACAAACTAAAGATTAATTAATCAAGACTCAATGTATATAATATATAATATATAATATATAATATATAATATACATACTTTCAACACTTAACGCTATCAAAATAATTTTGAAAAGTTAGATAAAAATATAAACCACATAATATATTATAATAACTGTTCGAATAAAAATGTAATTTAATACATAATTTGAATGATGATAAACAAATGAAATAAAATATATTATTTTATTTATTATTTACAACTATCATAACTATTATTTGACTCATAAAATGTTTATATTTTATTTTATATAATTAGAAGTACCCAACARCATTAAGATTTATTGAATTTAATACCTCAGCTGTAAWACTATTTCTGACTTGGTTTCCGCTTGATTTATTTGTTATTAATAATATAGCATATTTAAAAAAAATAATGATGTTGTTCAATATATTCAATTTGTTGATCTAAAAATCGAAATAAAACATTAATTATATACATTTACTATTAGGATTGTAACACTGCGCTACTGCAGTGTTCTGCTTGGGAAACGAGAGTTTGCATAAAACGAACGCCATAAAAAAATAAAACTATCGTTGATTATTTTCTTTTAAGAGCATTGCCAGATGCGTCATGTCAACGTTAAATCCCTA